CAACAATAGTCTTCATAAGAAGCAATACGGCTTCATCAAAGGTAAATCAACATACCATGCAATTGGTCAAGTTAATAAATATATAAATGAATCATGGAGAAGGAACGAGCATTGTTTACTTATATCTATAGATTTTAAAAATGCCTTTAATACCCTATGGTGGCCAGCATTAATGAAGCAACTCCAGTTATTTAAATGCCCTAAGAACTTATATAACATTCTTCTAAACTACTTAGATAACAGAACAGCTGGCACTTTTGATTTTGGAGAAAATATTATCAGGAACCTATCTAAAGGCTGCCCCCAGGGGTCCCGTTCGGGCCCTGGCTTGTGGAACATCGCGTATGATGGGCTCTTGAAAATAAATGAGGAAGACGAACATCCAAGTAATTTTAAAATACAGGGGTACGCAGATGATACTCTAATAATGGTATCAAATAAAAACAACAAAACATTACAAAAGGACGCTAATGATATTCTGGAAAAAGTGAGCAATTGGTACATAACAAATAAATTACAAATCAACTACAGTAAGTGTGATGCAATGGTATTAACCAAAGGTACCCAACTTAAAAAACCCCTGAAAATTCTTATCAATAAACAAAAGATAAAAAAATACCAACAGCTTGAAATATTTAAACATTAACTTTGACCAAAATATGAAATGGGCTACGCATCAGAGTAAGATCTCAGACAAGGCAATAAGGATCTCTCATGCACTACAAAGCATATGCAGCAGGAAATGGGGGTTAGGAGAAAAAGCAATAAAAATTATATACAAGGCATGTATAGAGACGATTATTCTATATGGAGCTCCATTTTGGGCGGAAGCAGTGGATAATGTTAGAGCAAGGAAGAAGCTTAATAAGGCTCAAAGATTTTCCCTGATTAGAAAGTGTAGATCCTATAGAACTGCACCTACAGAAGCATTGCAGGTCATCTCCGGGGTTCTACCACTTTATATAAGAGCAAAAGAGGAGATGTGGAAGTGGAATCTTAACAATGGGGGCACCATAGATAATCCAGACAGCGATCTATATAAATATTTACAAATCGGGTTATTTCCTAACCTAAATGAGTACAACTTAAAACACTTTGTTACGACCATGAGTAGTAAAGTCAAATTTCTTGATGTTCACCCTAATACGGCAGGTGACATTTCACTGATAGACTTCAACGACAGTATAACCTTGAATTTTAATGTGTACACCGACGGCTCCAAAAGTGACTGCTGGACAGGAGCGGCTTTTGCTATTATGGACCACCAGAATATCACTAATTTTAAAGCAAGCTTTAAGCTTGGTATATGTACTATTACGCAAGCGGAGCAGTACGCAATCTTTCAAGCCCTGAAATGTATCAACAGTACCAAGATTAGAAACAAAAACATAAGAATTTTCTCTGACAGTCAAGTGGCCATTCACAGACTAAAAAATGGAAATGATATTCTAGCTAATCTCACCCGGCAGGAACTGTTAAGCTGTCATAATAAAGTAGCCTTTACTTGGGTGAAAGGGCATTCTGGAATAGAAGGGAATAACATCGTAGATCAAATGGCCAAGCAAGCTGCTGCATCCTCTGCTACCCCAACTTATTGGGAAGTCCCTAAGAAAATAATCAATAATGTAATACATCAAACATCAGTGCAACTCTGGCAACGCGAATGGGAGGATGGAGCAACCGGAAGGAAGACCTTCCAGTTCCTTCCCAATATCTCTGGGAGGCCCCATAACAAATTTTTCCATACTAATTTCCACATTACGCAGTTACTAACTGATCATGGTAACTTCTCACAGTATTTAAACAGATTTGGCATTCGGACTCATCCATTTTGTGATTGCAACAATTCCATCCAGAATGCCGAACATTTAATTTTCGAGTGCAGCAAATACGAAAACTACAGAATAAATCTAGAGGGCATTGTCCTCAATAAAGGATTCAATTGGCCCTGCAAGTTGTCAGTATTTGTCGAAGACAGAGATATATTTGAAGGACTAAATAACTTCTTAATAAAAACAAAAGCTCTGGAATCAACATTTGTCAGCAACGGTTCTTATTCTCCATAGGACCCTTGTTTCTGCATTGTTCAAGTAAGGTATCTTCTACTGTTATTAGGTAATTTGCTAAGCGTCTATTTGTTTGGGCTTATAATGTATTAACACTGTCGGGCTCTGATTGTTACACTAATTACTCATCAGTATTCTCTTATATTATAAGGTATCGTACTTTGGGGTCTCAACATTGTATCATGGTCTATACCATCGTAACAAGGCATATAAAATTATTATAAGATACTTTTCACTGTATGTATTGTTGCGGCCTCTATCTATTTCAGCATGTAAATCGTCATGTAATTAGTGTATTTATTGATTAAGTGTAGCAGCATTTACGCTTTCTGTATTTCTCTTTTTTTTTTTTTCTTTTGCAATTATTTGTTTATTCTTTAATTAATACCTCGATACGGGGCGCTACTGGGTCTCCCATCTTCACCATCTTTCCTTTCCTCCTTTAATTTTCCCCTCCACCTTCCCTAGTGCTTTCTCCTTCCACTTCTCATCCAGGTAATACCTTTGAGTAAGCCTGGATTTTCATCCCCTTTATGCTAAGTAAGTAAGTGTAAAAAATGAACTTTTAAACTCATCTTGCATCCTTGAGCTTCATACGCTGCCAGTGTGCGTTATACAATGGTTTTGTAGTCAGGGTATATTCCCCAAAAACTTATGCACTATATTCCTGAAAGAGTCCCATGCTTCTTTCTCCTTTTCTCCTATTGTTTCCAAAAAAGAGGGGATCAGATAAAGGGGATGTTGACTTTTCACTATGTATTCACCACAAACATAACAGAAGCTGTCGGGAGAAATTACACAACCTCTGCGAGCCATATTCAGAAATAAAAATACAAGCGCAGTAGCGTTCGAATGCTGGATATAAACTAAGTGTGGCCAGAGAGATACTGAACTTATTTAGCTTATTGAAACATGATCTAATCCAACAGCAGGTTGTTTATATTTATTCCTAGTATCCCAGATAACATATCGAAACATGCTCAACCTCACCAGTAATATTGTAAGTACCAGTAATAAACTCACTGTCAACTTTTAACCCGTTTCTACATGATCATGCGATCTTCCTCCTAACGCTAAAACTACTTGACTCACCTCTCCCTAACACTACTCTCTTCAACTATTAACATTTTTTATTTATTTATTGCCAAGTCCAGCTATAATTGATAGAATTAATGTGAGAATTCTACGGTAGATACAAACAACAACTTGAGTGTAACAAAAAAAAATTGACGAGATGGGATTTTTTTTTGGTATTTTTTTCGTTTTTACCAAGTTGAAATCTATAAGAAAATGTATAAAAATCCTATGCAGTTTTTTACTTGCAGGCCTGTGTTCTTTATAAAAATAATATGACCTGTATTTAAGAAAAAAACCTTATTTATATTTTGTGAATCTTTTTAAAATCTAGTTCAAACTAACTGTATTTTCACGAATTTGTTAGAAAACAAAACCATTTTGAATTCTTCAGAATATTAATAAAATCTATTGTTAACTAAGCTGCAAAATTTGCTTCACTGAAGGGAATGAAAGAAATATATATATATATAATTTCATATATTTGCCATTACATATGCAAAAGACATTGTTTATTTGTTCACAATTTCTGTATAAAACAACAAAAAAATACCAGTACTTTACAGACATGAGATGCACTGTACAATACCATTCATGTGTTAAACTAAGCAAATACTATACTGTAGCAAATATATGATTATTATGCTAGAGATAAATCATTTTCCGAGTTTATGCCATAGAATTTTAGATATTTCATAATCGAAAAGATTTTGTGTGTCAAATTTTTAAATTTAAAAGCTAGCAATTAGTATCAAAAGATACCTGCTGAATGTATTATGAAACAAGTAACATTCTTTGTAACACATTAGCATATCAATAATAACGAAGTTTTTAAATTTCTTTCGTTAAGATAATTGTCTTTTCTAACTCTAAATTAATGAGGAGTAAACAAAAATTTTGATTTAGAAGATTGTATTAAACCAAAAGAAGAAGACAAAACTTTTTAAAAGGGGGAACTTTGTAAACTGATAAGGAAATGAAATATATTAATTAACAAAGTTGAAGTCCGTCTAACAAGATTTTTTTCGTTATACTAAAACTTCTGTAGCCTATTTCAACTAATATTTTTTTTAGAAAATTTCACGAAATACTATTTCAATATGATTGTATACTACCCAATTATTATGTTAATTTAATTAAGTCAGATAAAATCCGTGTAACATTCTTTAGATTATTTGAGCAATAAAAGTTATAAAATTTACAAATAATAAAATTATAGGAATCATTAATTTCTAAAAAGTTAAGTTTTTAAACTTTAGCACGAACATTCAAAAACAGTTTAAAAATTATAATTTCCATTGATTCGACAATTATAATTTTTAATTGTAAGATTATTAAGAAAATAAATTTAAAATTAGATTATTTAATAATTTAAAACTAATATCAGTTTTTTTTAAACTATGATTAATGATATTCAATACTGTTGCTTTGCGATTTTTTTTTCTTTTGACATCAAGTTTAAATTATTAAATTATCTCACATTATATTTTAAAACATTTTTAAAAAGTACTTATTACTTTTAAATGGAGAAACTATAATTTATTATAAATTGCTCTCAAAATTATAGTTGTCCAGTTTATTTAAAATCTAAATGTCATTTGTTGATTTAATACAGTATCATCTTTATGGAAGTAAAAGTACTTCTATGAATACCAAAAAACAATAAAATTATATTTAGTAAACTGTCAAATAGTCCATTTAAATAAAATTCATTTTTAATACACTTTAATTACACCTCTACAATAGAATCAGAATGTATATACTCTAATACTTTCTTTTAAAGCTTTAAATAACTATTTATAAATTACATAAAGGAACATAATATAATTAACATAATAATAACAACAACAAATAACTCACTAGTTGGACACACTTAATAATCCCTTGAATGCTTTTTACATAACTGACATTTAAAACTAAATAAGGCCTGGAATTTTTAGCTCTGTCACCCGACATTTTCTACCGAAAGTAATATGGCTCGTTCTCTATTCTCCAAACTCAGGCGATGATATCATTTCACTCCACCGGACGTTCCGTCACTCCCTCTCACCACGCTTCCGCTGTTATGATAAACAAATTTAACTTTAAAATTTTAAACTTCTTTACAATTTTACAATTTAAATTAATCGTTTCGTCCACACGAAACGATTTTCGTTTACTTAAATGTTTTTCAAAATTTAATCAGTTTATTGTAACACGATACAAATATTTTTTAAAATATATTTTAGATTTCTAGGAAATTACTATTATAATTTTTGAATCACGTGTTAGGTAAACAAAATAATTTCTGCTGATTTAAGATGACTCGTTGTGATTTTCTTCAAATGCGGTTTGTTTTGAGAAATAAGAAATGGTTTGGTATATTAAAATATTAAAAAATATATTAAAAATTGATATTTGTAGTCTAGTACAGTTTAGTTTTAATCTTAGAAAAGGAGATTTAAATTAATAGTTTTGATATATAAAACATCATTATTTCAGTTCTTTTTATGATAAACATTAGCAAATAAATTGTGGCAAAGTAAAATGAATTTGTATATATCCACATTTGTTCTTTCTTTCAAAAGTTGTTTAATATTAGCACTTATAAAAGAGCACATCATCTAAAATCATATTAGTATGATTCCATAAGAGTATACCGGTAATTTATACTGAACTATACTGTATAATAAACTATTATTAAAATGTAAATACTGTATAAAGCTATATGAATTGCATCTAGATATATTGTATAGCGCTTTTGTGACTTTAAAGTTAGAGCACTCTATTTAAAGTTATCAAGATAAAATTATATAACATAAAATCAATTAATATTCTCTGTTAATTTATTTAGTTGTGAGTAAATCCCAAACAAACATAATTGAAAAATTAAAATTTAATTTAATTCGAATACGGTATAGCTTTTAATTATTTTAACAATAAAACTTAAATATGTTCGACTTTTACTTTCCCGGATCTGCGGATCTCTTAAGTATAACAGAGAGAAATAGGGATTGTAAATTTACAGACTTTTTCATTTACCGGTAATTCGGTAAATGAAAATTAAAATACATGTTTACCAGTAAATTACCGGTAAATTTTTTCCTGAAAAATAAAATTAAGGTGATAAAAAATATAAGTAATTTTGATTTCCATTTCACATTTTTTATTTCAAAGATACAGANATTTGCCATTACATATGCAAAAGACATTGTTTATTTGTTCACAATTTCTGTATAAAACAACAAAAAAATACCAGTACTTTACAGACATGAGATGCACTGTACAATACCATTCATGTGTTAAACTAAGCAAATACTATACTGTAGCAAATATATGATTATTATGCTAGAGATAAATCATTTTCCGAGTTTATGCCATAGAATTTTAGATATTTCATAATCGAAAAGATTTTGTGTGTCAAATTTTTAAATTTAAAAGCTAGCAATTAGTATCAAAAGATACCTGCTGAATGTATTATGAAACAAGTAACATTCTTTGTAACACATTAGCATATCAATAATAACGAAGTTTTTAAATTTCTTTCGTTAAGATAATTGTCTTTTCTAACTCTAAATTAATGAGGAGTAAACAAAAATTTTGATTTAGAAGATTGTATTAAACCAAAAGAAGAAGACAAAACTTTTTAAAAGGGGGAACTTTGTAAACTGATAAGGAAATGAAATATATTAATTAACAAAGTTGAAGTCCGTCTAACAAGATTTTTTTCGTTATACTAAAACTTCTGTAGCCTATTTCAACTAATATTTTTTTTAGAAAATTTCACGAAATACTATTTCAATATGATTGTATACTACCCAATTATTATGTTAATTTAATTAAGTCAGATAAAATCCGTGTAACATTCTTTAGATTATTTGAGCAATAAAAGTTATAAAATTTACAAATAATAAAATTATAGGAATCATTAATTTCTAAAAAGTTAAGTTTTTAAACTTTAGCACGAACATTCAAAAACAGTTTAAAAATTATAATTTCCATTGATTCGACAATTATAATTTTTAATTGTAAGATTATTAAGAAAATAAATTTAAAATTAGATTATTTAATAATTTAAAACTAATATCAGTTTTTTTTAAACTATGATTAATGATATTCAATACTGTTGCTTTGCGATTTTTTTTTCTTTTGACATCAAGTTTAAATTATTAAATTATCTCACATTATATTTTAAAACATTTTTAAAAAGTACTTATTACTTTTAAATGGAGAAACTATAATTTATTATAAATTGCTCTCAAAATTATAGTTGTCCAGTTTATTTAAAATCTAAATGTCATTTGTTGATTTAATACAGTATCATCTTTATGGAAGTAAAAGTACTTCTATGAATACCAAAAAACAATAAAATTATATTTAGTAAACTGTCAAATAGTCCATTTAAATAAAATTCATTTTTAATACACTTTAATTACACCTCTACAATAGAATCAGAATGTATATACTCTAATACTTTCTTTTAAAGCTTTAAATAACTATTTATAAATTACATAAAGGAACATAATATAATTAACATAATAATAACAACAACAAATAACTCACTAGTTGGACACACTTAATAATCCCTTGAATGCTTTTTACATAACTGACATTTAAAACTAAATAAGGCCTGGAATTTTTAGCTCTGTCACCCGACATTTTCTACCGAAAGTAATATGGCTCGTTCTCTATTCTCCAAACTCAGGCGATGATATCATTTCACTCCACCGGACGTTCCGTCACTCCCTCTCACCACGCTTCCGCTGTTATGATAAACAAATTTAACTTTAAAATTTTAAACTTCTTTACAATTTTACAATTTAAATTAATCGTTTCGTCCACACGAAACGATTTTCGTTTACTTAAATGTTTTTCAAAATTTAATCAGTTTATTGTAACACGATACAAATATTTTTTAAAATATATTTTAGATTTCTAGGAAATTACTATTATAATTTTTGAATCACGTGTTAGGTAAACAAAATAATTTCTGCTGATTTAAGATGACTCGTTGTGATTTTCTTCAAATGCGGTTTGTTTTGAGAAATAAGAAATGGTTTGGTATATTAAAATATTAAAAAATATATTAAAAATTGATATTTGTAGTCTAGTACAGTTTAGTTTTAATCTTAGAAAAGGCGATTTAAATTAATAGTTTTGATATATAAAACATCATTATTTCAGTTCTTTTTATGATAAACATTAGCAAATAAATTGTGGCAAAGTAAAATGAATTTGTATATATCCACATTTGTTCTTTCTTTCAAAAGTTGTTTAATATTAGCACTTATAAAAGAGCACATCATCTAAAATCATATTAGTATGATTCCATAAGAGTATACCGGTAATTTATACTGAACTATACTGTATAATAAACTATTATTAAAATGTAAATATAAAGCTATATAAATTGCATCTAGATATATCGTATAGCGCTTTTGTGACTTTAAAGTTAGAGCACTCTATTTAAAGTTATCAAGATAAAATTATATAACATAAAATCAATTAATATTCTCTGTTAATTTATTTAGTTGTGAGTAAATCCCAAACAAACATAATTGAAAAATTAAAATTTAATTTAATTCGAATACGGTATAGCTTTTAATTATTTTAACAATAAAACTTAAATATGTTCGACTTTTACTTTCCCGGATCTGCGGATCTCTTAAGTATAACAGAGAGAAATAGGGATTGTAAATTTACAGACTTTTTCATTTACCGGTAATTCGGTAAATGAAAATTAAAATACATGTTTACCAGTAAATTACCGGTAAATTTTTTCCTGAAAAATAAAATTAAGGTGATAAAAAATATAAGTAATTTTGATTTCCATTTCACATTTTTTATTTCAAAGATACAGAATATAAAAAATATAAAAATTAATTAAAGTGTTATTCTAAACAAACTATAATAATAACTTTTAGAAACATAAATAAAATAATACAGAAAAATAAAAATAAAACAGAAATAATATATAGTACCTAATACCATTTTACTGATTACCATTTTTTAAAAAATAACTTCTCAAGAAACTTAAATTATTTAAAGTCTTATCTCCTAATTTTGATCTAATTTTTGTACAAAATAATCCGGGTTAGGTTAAGTTTCTAGACTTTTTCGGACATCATCTTTAAGTAATAAAAATCTTTCCAGCATGTTTAGTAAGCTATTCCACCGGGTTCTACAATCTAAAATTAAAGAAAGTTCTTTTCGTGAGAGTAATGGGGATTCCCCACGAAAATAAGGTTAGAATAATACATATTTTGCACAATCGTAAGGCATAATGTTAGAATCTTGTAATAAATATTTGTATTTAATTATTTTAAACAGTTGTTAGAAGTAAAAAATTTATTTAAGGTACAAATTTTAATGTTATTTTGCAATAATATTGCTTTAATGTCCTGTCATAATGTGGTGTATTCAAAATTGCTATTAATTTAAAAAGTACGTGAAATATTTACGTATTATTATTTTTAAATATTAAAAAAAAAAAATATTTACTTAATCTTTAACAAAAACGTTGATTGTAAAGATTTTAAACCTTTAAAAATCTCAAAAAAACGGCAGAGCACAAATCACATATGCTAACTAGAGCTTTCTGTACAATTTACAGTGCCTCTCAAACCCAAGAAAGTTTAAATTAAAATTAAACAAAAAATATTTCACATAAAATTAATAATTGGGTATATTGTTGCTTACACTTATCTGTTTTTTTTTTTTTTTTTTCAATGTCCCTTTAGCCCTTTTAAATATCTATAAACACAATATTCTGTACATAAAAATTCCTAGTGTGAATTTTTCATTTACAGAATTACCGGTAAATTTCAAAAATTTACCGGTAAGTTTACCGAATGTTTTTTTGTCAATTTATCGGTTAACCGGTAAATCGTTAAACCGGTATACAATCCCTAGAGAGAAAGTATGGCGATCGGTGAAAAAATGACCATCCCTAAGATTTTTAATTTTTTGGACCTGGATGCAAAAAAATTCTGAAGTAATTTCTTACGTATGGATGTTAATGAGTTTGTTAGTTTAGTTACGGCAACGCAACACTTAGGCGATCTGCCTAGGGGATGACTTCCGGGAGGTCTTTTTAAGGATAACTGGCTCTTATTCAGACGTTACAGATGAGGAGAAAACCCGGAAAACTCCACGTCCGGGTAAAGTGCGAACCCACGACCGAACTCTCAGTGTTTAAGGAACGCAACCGCTTGGCCACTGGTGGGCCAATGAGTGAGTGGTTGTGGGGCACGATTTTATTCACCCTCTTTGAAGCTTAATAACTCCTGAGCTTTTCGTCTAAAATTTCTGAAATTTTGCAGGGAGGTTTGTATATTAGAGAGAATTGATGCTATTAAATTTTGGTGATTAAAGGTCAAGTGGTGAAGAGATAAAGAGGGTCTCGAGTAAGGTCGGACTTAATGACAATTTTACTCGTTATTAGCATTTATAATTTTTTTAAATATAAATCCCATCCCTACTCTCAAAATTAAGCTTTTTGCCATTTTATAATAATTCAAAATATAGAAAGTTTTTAAATAAAATATCGTCATAGATGGTGCTACGCGCAGTTTAAAAATGTTGCCAGGAAATTTAAGCAACTCGTTGCTGGATTTTTTGAAACTATAAATAAGAAAGTTCTACAGATGCTGCCGTCGTTATTGTTGTTAATGATGTTGCTAATATAATACTATAAGTCATGCCAATTTATCATTTTCTTTTACAAAATGTATAAATTATTTTAATTTTGGATGCTGTTTATACAGTATGTAATAGAAAAGGTAATTTTATTAATTTTGATTCAGTGTAAATAGAGATTTAATTCAATTTAAAAATTCAGGTGTGTTATGTAAAACATATGCCTATATATAAATCTATTATAAATGTATGCATCAATACAGCAATTGTGAAATCTGGAAACGAATTAAAACATTTATATTTATTAATACCGTATAATTTTGATGTAACTAACAATTATTTATTTATTTATTTATTATTTTAAGATTTATTAATTATTTAAGATTTATAAATCTTAAAAAAAATAATTGTTAAAACGGTGAATTAAAAAAATTAATTTTTTGGCAATTATATTTTCTCAATAGAATTCGTAATAATATAATTATTATTAATTAATGCATTAGTTGATACATAAAAATACTAAACAACAGGATTCAATTATAAAGTATTTCTCTACAATTACAATGCTATTAATTACTTCTGAAAAATGCTGAAATTCGTAATAATATAATTATTATTAATTAATGCATTAGTTGATACATAAAAATACTAAACAACAGGATTCAATTATAAAGTATTTATTACAGAATTTTNATAATTGTTAAAACGGTGAATTAAAAAAATTAATTTTTTGGCAATTATATTTTCTCAATAGAATTCGTAATAATATAATTATTATTAATTAATGCATTAGTTGATACATAAAAATACTAAACAACAGGATTCAATTATAAAGTATTTATTACAGAATTTTTATTCCATCAATAGGTAACTTTAAGATTCATATTCATGTATGCATTGTCCTAATACGTGATCCATCAAAGCAATTTCCAGTGGGAGATCGACAGGTGGTTTGCAGATGGTACCATTCCTGCACTGATTAGGAACTTCCAGATTGCAATATTGATATGGGCACTAAAATTAAATTTAAAAAATTATTCACTTAAAATAAACACAGTATTATTTCAATGTTTTATATAAAAATAAATGAACTGAAAGTATCCTGTTAATTCGTTCAAAGTAATGTACTGTACATATGATGTTTCTAATTCATCGAATTTAATTTTCAATTTCTTCTTTTTCTAAATAAATCACGGCAAATAGTTTTAAAAATCCTTATATTAATTTTACATATGAGAAAAGCGTATCAAGACAGGAGTAGAGAGGTGTATGTCTCTTAACGCTAAATTAAAAAGAGCACTATGGACCAGTGCCGTAGCTAGTCATTCTTGTGCCTTGTGCAAGAATTTGCATTTAGGCCCCTTAATTAATTAGGTTTAGGAAAATAATAAAACAAATTCATGCTTTTTGGCCCTTTTCCAAGTGGGCCCTTTGCGGGTACACCTGTTGCACCTGCCTAGTTACTGCACTGCTATGGACTCTTCACCAGTGTGTTTTTTTTTTATTTTATAGCTCTCTGCCTTCAGGCGTTAAGAGGACTTGTTTAGTCAATTTCATTGTGGGTTCGGCAAGTCCTACGATGGGGAGACAGATTAGTGAGGAACGCGATATATCCGGAACAGACCACCCCGGGTTTTTCGATCTGTTCGGATTCGATCCTGGATCCCTCGAGCTTATTAAGAACTTATTAAAGCTGCTGCTTAATAAGTTCTAGTAATTTCGTTCCTTGGTTTTATAAAATTTTGTAAAAACAAAATATTAAAAAATTTTCATTAAAAAAACTTACGTTCATACAAACGTCGCAGCATTTACACGAATCTTTACCTACATCACACTGACATTGGCCATCGAGGTTCTGACAATTTTCAGGTTCACATTTTCCACAAAATGGAGCTATTGAATTGCACTAAAATGCAAACATTTTTAAATAAAATTAAAGTAAAAAATTTAGTTAGTAACAAGCAATAACTTACAGGGGTACAGATATCGCAACAATCGCATGCATCTCTGTGGACACCACATTTGCAATTTTCAGTTGAAGGGCATTCTTCAGTACAAGGACCACATTTAGGATTTCGAGCTTCTGACACGGTATTAAAATATATAGAAATAATTCTGTAATAAAACAAGAATTACATTTTACTAACAATTAATTAAAAATTCACTCTACTAAACTCAAAAAGGTCTTCAAAACTAGATTCAAGAAATTCGAAAAAACAATAAAAATCTAAAAATTGTTCAAGAAATCAAGATGTGAAGATCAGAAAACAAATAAAGCAATGGGAATTTTCTATTAAAGAGAAAATTCCCATTGTTTTCATTGTTTATTACTTTTGGATATTTAAATCAAATGTTCACAGTCAATGATTAAGTAAAGACATGTCTAAAATGGATTTTAGACATGTTTTCACTTAATCATTATTTGTTAATTTTCTAGAATAATGAGCTATTCACCCGAAATAGCTAAGTTGTTTTAATAAATTCATGATTATTTTGGATTTACAGTAAAGAGAAAATACAGTGAGTGATCGGTTAACGAACAAATCGGATAACGAACACTTTCCCGAAAGAATTTTATATTTAGTCAAGGAACACTTCAGAGAACAAACACAAGAAGAAGCGACGTAAAGTAATGAATACCGACTGGTCTATCCTTGTCCTCTGGCAACAATTCGAAACTTTTCGGAGCGCGGGAGACGTCGACATCGACGCAATTGATCGGATAGTATTTCTCCGAACTTTCAGACTCTCCCTTGTAATTACAACCTTTTATTTTTCTGACAGAAATAATTCTTTTATAGTATTTGCGAGACTGTCGGGCAGGCACGCGTTAAGTTTTGCGTCGGTTTTTATTTTCGAAAAGTGAAAGTATATTACAAAAGTAAAGAGTTGGTAGAAGATGTCTGATGTTGCTGGGAAGTATTGCTTGAACATGCTACAGTAGGCTGCAGTTCAATCTTTTCTAAGATACTGTATAATCAAGAAAACTCAAGCAGCTAAAGGAGTAACAGAAATCACATCTGAGAAATAAAAAAACACTGAAAAGCTCATAATGGAACATGAAACTGATCTGACGACAGAAAAACGCCTAGAACTCTTGAATGAAGAACACCGAGATGTGTTTTCTTCCGAAAAAGATGACTAATGCCGATATCTACTATTAACGATCTTTTGAAGAAGTGAGAGGATGTCAGAACAACGGTCTTAAAATGGCATCCAAACCTGGTTAAGGTTAATAGACTTGGGGATCTCTACAATTACAATGCTATTAATTACTTCTGAAAAATGCTGAAGCAGAGAGAAAAGCAATCGACATTAGACAGACTCCTTAACCCCCACAAACAGAAAAAACATAACATATACGGTCTTGCATTTTTATTAATGTATTTTTATTATTACATGTAAATAAACGTAGTAAGAAGATTTATTTTTTTATTTTTTTTTGGAGTCTCCGGAACGAATTAATCAAATTTCCATAAAAACCTATGGTAAATCGATAATTGGTTAACGAACAATTCGGATAGCGAACAAAGTCTTGGAACGGATTATGTTCGTTAACCGATCACCCACTGTATTTCGATCTTCAGACGCTAAACCAATTCAATAAATCTGAGTTTGATATTTATACTATTCTACAAAAGATTATGTAGTTTTCTCTGAAGTTATTTTGATTGTGAAGATCATTTACATAATAAAAATAAATGAAAACGATTGAAAATACAGTTGAAGCAATCTTTCCTAAATAGTCTAACTTCCTAAAAGTCAAATTTTTGACATTAGAGCTGGTCATTTTGTATTCTACATCTAACCTTAAATATTAAATCATCCACGTTCCGGAAGTGTATGCCGTTGTGTTCAAATAATTTCAAATTTTGGTGAAAATAAAGTTATTTGGACATTACAGCAAGACAGCCGGATGGCCGAAACGATTAAAGAGTCAGCCTATTGCGAATCCAGGATGGGCGATAAATCCCATGAATATTTTCATGAGGGGATCTGTCCCGGAATTCACACCAACCGACTATTCCCGTTGTGGACCTGGACGAATCCACGGTGAGTATGAATAAAAAATCCTCTTAGTGCCCAAAGGATGGAAAAATGTAAAATTGTACATTACAGAAAACACATCCGAATCAGATAATTTCAGGTAATTATAAATTTTGTTCAACACAATTTATGAAATCTGGCCCTCGTTTGAAACTGTTTTCTTTAATAAAAGAGTATAATAATAATTTTAAAAAATTACAAAGCAATTTAATTCAGCAATATATATGATTAATTTAAAAAGTGGAAAATTAATTAATTCGAAGTCTCCATTGATGCTAGACAATTGCTAGTTCATATCAATCGAAAGGCCTACGAATTAGATCAATCATACATATAAGTCAATATCTAAAGTTAGAATCTGATCTGAAGCCTAAATTTGTCTACCATCATCGTTATCACAATCATTAACATATAAATTACCTTAGTGACAATAATGATAAGTAATAATATATGATTAGGATATAATAATATACACATATTTATCATTAATAAGGTTACTTACCCCAAAGTCAGAAGAGTAAAAATTATTTTCATTGTTTCTGTAAAAAAAAAATATTGTTTTCTATTATAGTAAATTTCAAAAAATAATGATAAATAAATAAATTTTTAGACAGCGGACATATAGGTCCTTAAAAGTGGCGTTTTAGGCGCTTAAAATAAGCTCTTAAATTGCGTCGTTTAGGCTTTATAAACAAAAAATAGGCGGTCAAAATTTGCACAATGAACAATTAACCTACTTATCAGGACGATGAATTTTTTATTTAACATATGTATTCCAAAAAAATGCACGTATTCAGAATTATGCAAACACAAAAGTAGACAACAATTATCTTTGCATTTTTTATTCGCTCTGTTTCCCAATGCAAAGAAAGAGAATATAATCCGTTATCTTCAGTAGATGTGTTCCACATCTACTGAAGATAACGGACAATATTTCAACCTTGGAAGAAGATGAACTAGGAATTCACTTTGTTTTGCTCTTCTTTCCTGCCAAAATATCAGCCACAATAAACAAGCATTTTAATCCAAGTCTCTTTTGAAGCACTGCTTTCAACTCTTTCTTCACTTTTTTTTTGCAGCAGTGCCTGGTCCATCACAAAGTTTCTGCTTTTCTCTGTTGAGGAGATCAATTTGTTCATATATAGGTTTCCCACTATTTTCAAGAGCAGTAATAGTATCTGCAATGAATGTGAAATAACACTTGATGTACTACATCAACTTGTTCTGAACATAAATGTCATTAAAAATTTTCTTGGCTTTAGTTACACAAACTGCATTGTCCACTAAAGTGGCCAGAAGTTTTTTGATATCGAAGAAATGTTCACTGTAGTAGTTAGTAGAAAATCTTAGTCATGTATATGCTAAAGGAAAAATAGGCATTTGCTTAAAATCCGCTGTCTATAAATAATACAACTATCATCATTATTAAAAGCTCAGGATAGATAACCTCAAATTTTCAAATTTGAAATTGACAGTAATAATATAGGGCGTTAATAAAGAACAGAAATTTATCATTAATTTAAATGTAAACAGAGAATCCAAATGTAAAACTGTGTACAGTATTTGTAAAAGTGCTATACATTTTTGTTTGATATATTATTATATGATGTTTTATTAAAAGCTCTAAGATATTTTAATTCTCGTCATTATTAAATACGTTTTAAAAACTCCATTTAGTGAAATTCAGAAATATAACTATAATAAATAAATTTAATACATTTGGTATACTAAACTTGCAATAAATTATCGATAAAATAATGAATATCTCGTTGCTATGAACATTTATCTGAAACATTGACATTCGATTAATGATAAGAACATAAAAGTTTTAATATATGACAAATCAACGTTAACAGATTAATAAAGCTTGGTTTCAGCAGCATAAAAGTTATTTGTGAAATAAGTTTTTACTTCTGTTTTTTGTTTAATTTATTATTTTAACGTTTTAAATAATATTTTTCATTTCTGTAACCGCTTATGTACTGTTAAAAACGAAAACTTTCATCGGAGATTGTATAATTTTTCGTTTTCGGATCGCTGAAACTAGAACTCATAATAATTCGATTTTCTTACATTTCATACATTACGTCCGAAATTCGGCGACTGTCCTCAATTTCATTTTCTGTAGAATTTAAGAAAATCAAGAGCAAAACAATCATAACAATATGCTCAATTAAAATGTCAAATTGTGTATAAGAATATAAATAATTTTTAAAAAATAATGAACATCTTATTAAATGCATTTCACTTGTTTTATTTGATGAATTATTAAATACAATTTCATTACCCGAAAATCAAAGTATACGTATATTAACTATCCATTTGGCGTCAACCTTATAATGCTATGTAAATCGTAGAAAATTTTTGTATATGGCAATGTATGTCTCATCGAATTATATCATAATAAACCGAAAAAATACAATATACTGTACATATTTAAATCTGGAATAATGAAATAATTTACGCATTATTTTATTTACAAGAATACTTTTTTCTATGACATTTGATAAACCCTTTTTTTCATTATAAATTACCAATAACGTATAATTATTTTTATATTATTATTTGATGAGATGTCCTAATCGATTAATTTTTAATTAATTTTCAAAATTAAGCTATAAGTTCGCAGTAAAATTCTTAAACTCACCCGCAAGCAGGATCTATTGTAACGAGTAGACAAGATGTAGTGAGTAACAATAATGCGCACAATTAACTTATATAGACGGAGAAGCGATAACGTAAAGATAAAATTTAACAACAGAAGCTTTAGACAGACTTTTTTCCAAATTATTAATCACTGAAAAGATTAATATAATAATTTTTTAGCAGCTTATCTAGCAGATTCAAAGTCTAAATACATTTACGAAGATAATTATATTGCATTTATTACATAAAATTATTTCAAAATAGTATGAAGGAAAAGTATCCACCCACATCAGCTACCGCCATGTAAGGAATTTTAAGAGGAATTATTTTGACATAAAAAATTTTATTTATAATATTACACTATATAGAAAACAAACTGCGTCTTTACTGATATACTTCTCAAATGAGAAAACATTTGCATGTAATATTTTTCACCAGAACATTCGATTTTATGACATTGAGCATGTACCGTATATTTCCGCAGATAAGACGACCTTCAGATAAGACGAGGTACACATTTTCGTCAAAGTTTTATAGTTTTAGCATATATCTGTCCTATAAGAGGTTTGTCCTTTTAAAATAACTTTTAACATTTATTTTATTCTAGTATTGCTTTTATTGTTACATAACTCATATAGCGTATTTAAATAATATGATAGATTTTTCGATAAGTAGTAGCAATTTTCAAGATCAGTTGCAGTCGGTGGTTGCAGGCGTAAAAGAAAAGCCTCCTTCATCATTGTTACGTTTTTGCCTATAGAATCACGAACTCACATGTGCCTCTAACAAGTTTCGTTATAGATTGTGTCGTGTATTCAAACAATTTGTACTATAAGTGTAATTAGTGTAAAATTTGTAAAGTGTGGGCCTAATCATGGAACCAACGAAAAGAAGGAAATATGAAACAAACTTCAAGTTAAAAGTCATAAAACAGGCTAAAGAATCGAACAACTGTGCTGCAGCAAGGGCTTTCGATATAACAGAGAAGATGGTAAGAGATTGGAGAAAGAATGAAGATGCTATTAAAAAAATGCCAACGAAAAAATGTTCTATGAGGAGAGGAATAGCTTGCTGGCCAGATTTAGAAAATAATGTTGCAGAATGGGTACAAGAACAGAGGCAGAATTGTTATGTCGTTACAAGAAATATGATTAGGGCTTATGCATTGAAGTGGGCAGGGGCCAATCCAGAACAAGGCAAAGAATTTAAAGCAACAGTAGGTTGGTGCAATCGTTTCATGAACAGAAAAAATCTGGTAATACGACAGAAAACAAAAATTTCACAGAAATTACCACAAGATCTCGACCATAAAGTCACAACTTTGTTATTAGTATGAGGCAAACATACAACTTTCCATTATCTAATATTGGAAATATGGATGAAACACCGATGAACTTCGACATGATAAACAATAGAACTGTGGAAACAAAAGGCGTAAAAACTGTTCAAGTCAGAAGTACAGGCCATGAAAATACCAGGTTTACAGTAGTATTAACATGCATGGCAGATGGAACAAAGTTAAAATCCGTGGTCATTTTCAAGAGGAAAACTACTACTAAAATAAAATTCCCGCCAGGCATTTTCGTACATTTTCATGAAAAGGGGAAGATGAACGAGAATGGTGTAAAATTGTGGATGGACAATGTGTGCCAGAGGCGACCAGTTGCTCTACGAAATCAACACAGTTTGTTGGTGTGAGATATGTTTCGCAGTTACGTAACTGAAAACACTAAAAATCGCTTAGAACGGAACAATACTAAGATTGCTATTATACCGGGTGATTTAACTTCGATGCTACAACCTTTAGACGTCTCTCTGATTAAACCATTCAAAGATCACACGCGTGAACAATGGAATAACTGGATGATGAGCGGTGAAAAGTCGTATACGAAAGGTGGAGCTTTGCGGGCGGCGTTACTTGATGTGATTTCATGATCAAATCATGGGAAAAAGTGAAAGTGGAAACAGTGATCAAATCCTTCAAAAAGTGTGGGATTTCTAATGCTATGGATGGCACTGAGGACGATTTGTTATGTGATACTGATGACGAAGCGGAAATCGACTCGTTAGGTACTGTACAGAATGGGACTCATATGATGAGCTTCTCAACAACGAAAATGAGGATGTACTTCAGCTATTTGCCTTAGATGATGAATGTGAGGATTTTGCAGGATTTTAAATACATTGGTGAGTGATTTGTTTTATAAAACAAATCATTCACAATGTATTTAAAATCCTGCTGAAATCATTTTACATAAATTTAAATTTAATTTAAATTAATAATTGTATCAGTCTTATAAGACGACCCCGAATTTTGGGAGCCTTTTTTTATGATTCAACTATCGTCTTATCTGCGGAAATATACGGTATTTTTTGTTTGTTTTTCATTGGATTTATTGGACCATACCATATTAAAGACTGTTTCAAACGCGATCTCTCTGTACTGAGTTTACAAAATGCATTGAATCTTTCCCACTGAAAAAATCTAATGTAAAGCAATTGTATTCACAATGTTACTTGAACGTGACATAAAAGCGTGATTATTTTAATAAAACAAATATGCTTCTTCTGTTGTACAGTATTCTATAGAATTTAGTGACATCATATAATGATTTATATGAGTTTTACAAGTTCACAAAATTTTACAATATTTCATTCACCTTTTAATGACTAATATTCATTTATTTATTATAACTATTATTCATAATTTTAATATGTTCGTGAAATGCAATTCCTATATCACATCAGTATGATTATGCAAATTAACTAGGCTACAAAAGCGGAGAAGCGTTGAGATATAAGGAAACAATCTCCAAAATTTAAGATAATGGAAAGACAAATAATGCGAATAGCTAAATATAACCTTAAATAAAAATTCTCAAGCTCATAGCTTCTTTTATTTCTCAATCTGCTAAAGATTTTTTAAACGAAATTCACACGAAGCGATACAACAGTTACTGTTAGATGAAGTACGAGTTTTATAAGATTATTTGGCCTCTTTGTACTCTATGAACGGTAAGGGCCCCTTACCGCTCATATAAAACCACAAAAAAAAGGCCAAGGCCAATAGACGTTAAATTCCCACTAATCATCAAAATATCATGGTACAAACGAAATTGACAGAACAATCGAATGACAAATTTTTTAGTTGTTACAAACACTAGGAGGAAACAACTACAGGGGCGTGTCATTTTCTCAACCAATCGACCTCTTGACACGTAGCGACATGCATAGCCTCATCTCAGTTTCTCCTCGGTCTTTAGCGCATCGTGTCCAAAACAGTTCCGATTGTGGAATACCGGTATGCCGAATTATTATTGGATAATTTCAGATTATCGGGTGCCGGATTAACGTACTTCTGTTCTTTATTTTTCTGTTTTGCATTTTAACGTCTTACATTCGATGTCAAAAAAGTCGACAGTGTCGCCGTAAAAACAAGTTGTAATATAATTGAAATATGCTCTTGTGAGGATATTGACATCATATTTTCTCAATTTGTTGTCACTTCTATCGGGTGCATTGATGATAATATATGTATTGAATTTAAATTTAGATTCATTTGCATTTAAAGTGTCTTCGAAAAAAAGATTATATGATGATGCTTTGAACGAAAACATATTTGGTCGCAGAAAAGTATGGAAATAGTGCTACGATGTTTTCATTTCGATGTTTCAACTAAAGTTAGTTTCTATAACGTTAGTTGAAACACTAGTTCTAGATAACTCTACGAATAAATTTCTAAACTTATATATTTGTAATAACAAAGAAACAATTACTATTAAATTGTCATTATTTCTTCAATTTTAAGATGCCATCAATTTAAAATTAAAGGAGCATAAAAATATTTTAACATCAGCAGCAAATGATGTACAGTACCAAATTTTGGTTTAACGTTATTAAAACTTAAGGCGAAGCATGACGAATGTATATATTTAAATTAGATACTCAAATACAGTTGTTAACTATCCTCAGTTCCTCAGCGGTTTACTTATAATTAAATTAAATTAAACACCAGAACACTTGCTGAGCTTACTGTACTTTAATATTAAACGCTTTCAGCCTATTCTTATAGGCCATCTTCAGGAAATTATCGTTCCACAAACGAACATAAAGTTTTCGAACACTCGTAAAATTTAAAGTTTTCGAAAATTTAAAAAAAATTATTACATTAAACGGTTAAATATTGAATAAACAACAAATTACTAGTACATTATATAACCAAACAAATGTAAAAAATACTATATCGAAAATACATTAAAATTAGTTAAAGCATAACTGCCATATTTTTACGGATTTTTAACTCCCATCTCTTTTTCTATTACGTATTTCCAGGCCGTTGGGAGAGCATTTGCGTCTTTTGCATTTAAGCAATTATCGTTCACTTTACCCTTATATATTTCTATCTTCTCCATACCTAACGAATCGTCGGCGAATGGACTGTCAACTATTCTCGCTTCATCCCATTTCACGTTTGCTCCTTCTGTTTGTGCCATGACTGCCAAAACTGCGTTATTATGCTCTTTATTCACGTCATATTTGTGCTCTCTTAAACGTATTGCCAAGTTTCTTCTAGTAACCCCAATATAATCTTTTGTCACTCCCAACTGCTGATTCACAAAAGGAATTTTATAGACCCCTGCTTTATCTTGCATTCTTACTTCGTCTTTATCATTTCTTAGCAGACTGTATATGTTTGGCGCTCTTTTATACACCGTTTTCGTGTTTTTATATCTACATAATTCTTCCATCACTTTCTCCACCCTCCTATTGATTGTAAACTTGTTGATTCTATCCCTCTTATTATCTCGTTTTCTTCCATGTTGTCTGTAACTCTTGATCAATCCTTCTATTGTGGTTGTTCTGAATCCTAAACCTTTTGCCACTTTCTTAATTCTGCTTATCTCCCTAAGTCGATCTTGTGCGTTAGTGCAATACAAGAACGCTCTTTTAATAAGCGCCTTCAACGCTGATATCTTATACCTAAACGGATCATTTGATCATGCAAGTGTGGCTTATACAAGTGTGGGTTTTAAGTACACGGCCGTTTGCATACTGCCCATTTTAAACCTTATACTAATGTCAAGAAAATGTAAATGCGTATGACTTTTCTGTTCCAGCTTTATCCTTAACCAGTCGGTTGCGCGGTACTCCAATTGGAGTAAGTGTCAATTTTTTTTTTCGTAATTAACTAGTTGGTGGCGATTTAAGCACTGATTGGCATTTATCTACATAGACTAAGTCTGTTTCAACGAATAAAATATTTGTTACCACTCCCTATTTTTAAATTTACCCACAAAACTCCTCCTTTCCATGTTAAGTCTATGGGAGACCTTTCTTTCGTTCATTGGACAATAAAATTCTTGTTTGCACGTCTGTTGACCTCTAATTGGTACATTATAGTTAAATGACTATCCTTTAACGAATAAGCATTGACTTGGGTTTGTGGAGTGGGAACTTTCTGGGAAAAAGGTATTTTTATCGAAGCTACATTGTTAGCTACAAACGTAAACAAACAATTATAAATCATTATTCTCGTCTATTTTTAACTTCAATTTAGTAAATTTTTATAAATATTTATCCTATTTAACAAATAAGCATGTTTTTTAAACCATCCAATTATAAATCTTTTAAAAAACAAAGTACTTCCTGTTATCATGTAACTTTCGTAATACGTAAAAAATACACGTATAATCGTTAATATATTAAAGTAATAATCGCTTGATATATACCACTGTTAGTACAATAGTGTAAATAACATAAATAGAATCAAATATACATCATCAATACTAAAAAGTGTATTGACCTAAATTTAGAATAACCACCACCCACCCCCCTTACACGCCGATCGGCGTTATAATCTATAGGTCGTATTATTTCTCTACATCGGTTTAGAAAGCTGCAGTATTTTTATATGTGTGTATATAGACCTATCTATCTAACATATATAACAGATTAATCGGATGTTTATTAAAAAAAATTTCTTTTTTTAATTTTTTGAATTCTCGAATTTTATAAATTTTTTAAATGTACATAATATTTTGAAGTTAACAATCGTAAAGTGTGATATGTGAATGATAAAAGGCAAAAAACAGATCAGATCTACAACAATTTTTAAGTGAAATATTGCAAATTTAAAAATTACTATAAAAACCAGAAAATGTCACGCAACAATAATGTTGTTTCAGATTATCGCGATGCAACTTAACCCATGACGACTGTCATTTATCGCACTTAAAAATTCTTCAATCCTTCGTTCGTCCTTCCAAATTATTAACACGTCATCCACATATCTCTTGTAGAATATAATGTCCTTTTCCAGTTGACGCACTACAGTACCAACTCACATAAGAGTCCTGACATGGGACTTTCCATCGGGACCCCTTTCTTCTGTTTGTACGTTGCTCTATCGAATCCAAAAAATGAATGGGAGCACATCAAATCAGCCAGCTTATTTAAGTCCTCCATATATGCCGATAACCCTGGATTATGCCAGATTATAAATTCAATTTAAACGAATCCACTTTCGTTTTAAAAGTCATTCATTGTGTTAATATTTCAAAATTAACAAATAAGACTTAAACTGTTATAAACCTCAATTGCAAATATGGGCATAATGTTAATAATACCAAAAAATTTAAAAAGTTTTATATAAAAAGACAATAAAACGAACCTTTAAAGATTACACACCAGTGACATCGACTACAGCATTTAGATGAGGTGAGAGAGAAAGTAGCAGTAAGATCATCTTTGTGCAGAGGCGATATCGTAGCCAGTGAGGTTAATCCGAGGCGCGATTATTGCTAGTTGAAAACTTTAACCAATACCCCGCCCTGAGGTCTTTGTAAGACCGCGGAGGCAATTTTTGTGGCCTTTACGAAGGCCTTAATAAAAAATGTAAAATTAGAAAATTCACAGCAAAAACACTTAATCTATTCGTTCATTTATTCATTTATTACGTGCTGTACTTGTGAAATATGTTCGTAACAAATACAGGTAGGCCTCCTACAACGCGTTTTCGCTCCAACGCGGTTGGAAAAATGCGAAAATTTTCTTACAACGCGGTTTACGATATTTAGAAATGAATTTCTAAATATGAATAAAATGAATGCTTTCACATAACAGAAAAATCGCAACGGATCACGTAATACGCGCCACAGTTCGGTGTACAGAGCTAAATGTCCTCGAAAACAGCTGTTTGTCCACGTTGACGTGTTATTCCCATGAAAGTTTCATTGGAAGACCGGTATCTAGACAGATATGCATCAGTTACCATAAACACTCAAATATATCATTGATATTTTCGATAATTTAGCCTATACTCTTTCAATAGGGTAGGGGACCGCAAAAATGGTCCAAAATACAGTATAAACTTTTATTGGGTGTATATTTTTAACAACATAGTGAAGGGAAGTTAGTTTTTTGAGAATTTTACTGTCCACAAAACTGCTTGAAAAAATTTTAGCCATATCAATGTCGAATGAAAATAAAGGACCGTCGTTAGAAAGGAAATTTATTAATATATCTCTTCAAACAAAAATAGAAATTTCGGATCGAATTAAAAATCAAGAGCGGATAGCTGATATTGGTAGGCATTTTAATTTAAATGAGTCAACTATTCGGTCGATTAAGCCAGCGATTCCCAACCTGTGGTACGCGTACCCCTAGGGGTACACGATAGGTTGTTCAGGGGTACAGAAAAAAGTTAGTTATTATGGCAGAAAAAATAATATATTATGTATCACAAACTAATAGTATTAAAAAATTAATAGGTAAAATATGTTTATTGCAACAACCACAACTTTATTATACATTTTTTCTTTTAGGTTCTTTTTCTTTAATTTAAAGTTACAATATGTAAAATTAACAATACGGGTACTCGCTAAATTTCTTAAATGAGGGGTACAATCTAGAGATATGACGTGTCACGGGGTACGCTAATGAAAAAAGGTTGGGAACCACTGGATTAAGCAATAGGAAGAAAAGATTAGGAATTCAGTCGCATCCGGATCATCTATTCTTGCGAAAATTGTTGCTCGTCCGAGAGCACCTATAATGAAAAAAAAAAATGGAACAAGTGTTAATATTATGGGTAGATATGAACACGAAACGGTTGCCTTTAAATAAAAGTGCACTTAAACACAAAGCCTTAAAAATATTTGATTATTTAAAATAAATGGGACAGTCGTCGGCTGATGAAACCAGTGTTAAATTCTTGGCTAGTAATGGCTGGTTTGAAAAATTCAAAAAACGCCATTCAAACGTCAAGTTTTTCTCTTTTTAGAACCGAATCCCAGTTTTTGTATTAAGTTGGTGTCTCCTATAACGCGATTTCCCACAACGCGGTATTTTCAAGGAACGTATCTACCGCGTTGTAGGAGGCCTACCTGTACTAGTAAAAATAGCAACAAACTGAACCTTAAAAGCTTTATGTTCGTTTGTGAAACGATAATTTCCTGAAGATGGCCTATAAGAATAGGCTGAAAGTGTTTGGATATTAAAGTACAGTAAGCTCAGCAAGTATTCTGGTGTTTAATTTAATTTCAGTCGTTAATTTGGCATGCTTAATTATGTAATTTATATGGAATTTTTAATAATTTCTCAAAAACTTTATCTATTTCATTGAAAGAGATAGCACACTGTCATTAAAAAACAATTCTTTTTCTGAATTCATTGGATAGTATTTTAGAAATGTAAAATTTACGAAATTTTCATAGTTTTTAACACTAAAATTATTTTTGAAATTTGTTTAAGAAAATTCAATTCTATATGAATAGATTTTGAAATATTTCTGATGTGGATGAATTTCAAAATTAATTATAGAATAATAAACAAACTCTCATTCTTTTGTAAGAAAATTTTAATATTGAAATACAATTAGATTTGTAAAATTCATTTTTCTTTATTGAAGCAATTTGGAATTTTCAAGTTTTATTGGCGGAGGGAATATGCTGTGTTTCGTATTGATAGACAATAAAATTAATTTCATTAGAGAAATCATCATTGGCTAAGAAAAAAAGTCACATTTGTAGTCACCATGTTGCAGGGGCGGACTGGCCATGTGGAAAATGTGGAAAATTCCACATGGGCCGTATACAATTTGGGCCGTTTTTTTCTAAATATGTACATAACGTACCGTTTGGTTAAGTTTAATTTTAAAAAATTCATTTATTTTTTTGTTAAGTAAGGTAAATTTCAATTTTTAGGTATAATATGTGTATTCCTGTATCATTTTACCCGGCGCTACCCTTATCCGAAGTTAAATTAGTTCGGCCGATCTGAGTCAAACACTACATTGGCTCGATTCGGCCCAAACAGAAAGCATCCTAGGAGAAAAATAATCAAAACTACCTTCTAAACCAGTGTTTCTCAACGGGGGCGATATCGCCCCCATGTGGGCGTTTTTCCATGTTGAGGGGACGATTAGTAACAATTTATATTTTGGGGGGCAAAAAAACAATTTTCTGGGCGATATAGTAAAACATTATATTAAGAATAATTAGATATTTTATTCGTTATATCGTACAATAATTAAACAAATAACATTATACTAGTGACTAGTCTATTCAATGCAGTATGAATTGGCATTAGCCTTGGAGTGAAGGGGGCGATACTACGTTGAAGGGGACGACGATTCGTTACAGGTTGAGAAACGCTGTTGAGAAAATTGGTCATTTGTTTACATTGCTAGAAACTGTTCACCACTCCTATGAATCTTAATGCTAAACTATAGAGATGCATGTTATTAGTTTTGTACCTAGCCACCAAAGCAATGATTGTAGTCATAACAAATTTAATGGCCACTTATATTATTTCCTTTATTTTAGGCAAGTAAAAAATGTTATTCAATAATAATTTCTCTGTATTCCAAACGATTTAATTAAAAATAATCTATTTTGTAGTGTGAGGCCGGGACCCCACCCCCTCCAATGGGAAACTGGTTGTCGAGCTAAAGCTAACAAATCGACGATTTATTTCGTAAACAGGAACGAGTGTAAGACGATTTAATTGTTGCATTCCCGGACCAAATTCATACGTCCTCGATCTAGATTAGGGAAGGTGGGAGAGAGAGCAACCGGGGAGAGTTCGACTGTAATCTTACAGCGAGTTCAAAGCACATTAGACCAAAATTTACGGGACCATCACTAAATATTCCTGAAAACGCATTTCAAAAATTAAGCAGTATTTTAATACAATTTAATCCAGTAGCTACTCAACACAATATTATTTCAGAATTGCAACATTTTAAATCGTCATGGAATATTTTAAAGGAAAATGTCAATGAAACTTTTATAAAATTAAACGAAAATGAACATTCTACTGATGATCAAGTAGAAACTAATAAAGATGCGATTTTATCCTCTTACTGCATTGCTTGCAAAAATTGCTCTATTTGTTGTTATGATATATTATTCAGATATAACATGTTAAATGGCGCTTATTCTATACTTGGTCAAGCATACAAATATCTGCTATCTATGTCTGTAACACAAGTATCCGGTGAACAAAACTTTTCTATGTTAAAATTAATTAAAAGCAGGCTAAGATACTTATAAGTATCTCGCAAGAAAATCTAGAAGCCTTCGTCTTAATGTTAGTGAAGAAGGATTTTTTAAACGAAATACATTCTGATGATGTCATTAATATTATTGCTCAACAAAGCAAACTTCTAAATAAAAAATTAATATTGTAGAATATAGACTTGTGCTTATTGTAATTTTTGTCAATGTTGTATTTTGAATATATTTAAATATAAATAGAAAAAATACATTTTTTTATTTGTGGGCTGGGCTGGGAATAAATTTTCCACACAAAAATTTTAGGGCCAGTCCGCCCCTGCCATGTTGTCATATTCACTTTTGTAGCTGTTTGTTATATATACAACAAAGAGTTTCCCCGATGGTCAAAAATGACCATGGTTAATAATCATTCTCAAAATTTTAACAGAGTAATTCAATTTTTTATTCATTGCTGTTTTCAAAATTTCACTATGTATAAAATATCAATGTTATTATATTATGTGATTTATCTATTACACGCACACACAAATGAAATAGCATGTATGTAAAAGGAAATGTAGAACAAAAATGTTAACTGTATAGTGGCTGTCAACAGTCAATTATCTATTTATATGATATGTTTAACTTGGGTTATGTAGTATTGTATAATTACATTTTAAAAAGGTAGATATTATGTTATATAAATCTTGTTATAAAACCTTTTTAAAAAAACTTGTACATCAGAAATTCTAACTGAACAGGACTNTTAATTATACAGAAGAAAATTATGCAGACTATGAAAATAGTGTTATTCATTCACATTTAAATTATGCAATCATATTTAAGTGACTCTGTACTTTTTACTTTTCTTCATATATTAAACAATATTTGAAAAGTAATCGATTCTGTTTTATTTGTTTACCTTTAATACATTAACAGCAGTTTAACAAAAAATTTTATTTGGAATATTTGTTTAAAAAGATATAAGTAAAACAATTAAAAATAAATTAAAAATTTTTAACCATCTGCTTAAACTATACACATAGTTCTTGTAATTACATGGTAGATATTTCCTAGAAATTATCATATAAATGAGAATGCATGAAAATAAAGTATTTAACATAAACATATTTCAATATAAAGCATTCCAGAAAATTCCTATATTCATTTAGCATATAAGTACAAAAAATGAAATAAATCACAATAAGTATACAATAATGTGTTATATTAAAACACGTAAGAACATGTTAAGACAATGATTCTTTCATCATACCTAGTGAATAATTTTTTTGTATTATCTCTGAATTAAAATCATTTGATACTGCAGGAGAAAACTCTAGAAAGTTATTGATATTATAGATTAAAATAAAGAATATTTAGACTGGCTTATAAAATGCTTAATCTGTCTTAGGAATGTATGTCCATTACAAAGAGTAGATAGTAAGTACTAAGTAGAATGAGTTATAGAAAAATGATCTTTTTTTAGCATGTTTGATAAATTTTACTATTTACTTTACAGATGTTTGAATTTATTCCAAATTATATATAATGTGTTCTCCCCAGGTCAATTTGGGTGGGTGCTTTGCTCAGCTGATTTTACTGACTACCCAGCTAATTAATCTACTGAATTGATATCAAAATAATGATAATTTATAAGCTTCCCTTCTCATCTGTAAAAAAATAATATGGAAACAAAGAAAGCTAGTTGCCAAGGCAGATAAGACATCAACCTACCACTATGGAAGACTCAGGATTGATTCTGATCAAGCAACTCTGGTAATTTTTCATGGGCAGTCTTTATTAGATAAGTCAGGCCCTGTCCCTCACTATCCAAGCTACTACATTGTGGGTCTGACTGAACTCAGATAGTCTTTCTAATCATATTCATCTTAATGCCTGCAGAGTGGGAAAAAAGTGAACACAAAATTCAGTAATACTTTCTCTATAGAAGGGATCAGAAAATTGATTTAAAAATTATTTTAACTTCTGATGATGTAAGCAGAAATGGAAAGTCAACAACCAATAGAAAATAAAGATGACTGTGATGACTATATATCAAAATGGCAGATGCATCAAAACAATGTTGATTGCTTATAAGTAAATATACACTTACTGCTATATTAGAAATCTTTTAAATACATTCAGTCCAACTTTTGACCATTGTAAGTAAAAGTTGTCTACAACTTTTTTCTAAAAGGAACCAGCTTTATTAATTTAACATTACCTCCAAATGTATTTTATCCTGACTATAACAGTAATGTTTGTGATGCAAAAAATGCTATGGATTATGATGTTATATTTCACTGAAGAGGTTATGGTCAGGGTGGAATGCAATTGGAGGTAATATTAAATTAATAAAGCTGTAGTCTTTGTAAATATTTAGTTTTAAATAATTTCTACTCATAAATCAGTAATAATAGAGAAGATTAATTTGTCATTTATGGTGAGAAGTTTTTTAAACTGACTTTTTTTAAAATATAACCTTTTATATACCAGGAATATAACCATGAACATACCAGGTTAAAAATCTGGTATATTCATGTTTCATTATCACTCAGATTTATTTTTGGTTTTTCAAAATAATACAAAACTAACTTTCTACAAATGGTGTTTGGCCTGAATAACCAATCTATTTTATTATAAAATTAAAATTAAATTAAATTAAATAGAAATTAATAATAAATTAAATAATACAAATAATTATATACAAAGATCATATACAACATTCGTTCAGTATGATTTTAGATTCATTTGAACATGATTAACAAAAAGATTCAAGGAAAAACAGGCAATCAATAAAAATATCAATTAATTAATTAAAACATTAAATGCTGGTTTAAATACAGTCGACCCCCCCTATAACACGGTAGATACGTTCCGTTCTTTACGAAATTGATCTTCTAAGAGTCCTTAAATACATGAGCCAATCACAGCCCGGCATGTATGCAGTTTACGGACTACGACTTTTTGAAAGGGTTTCTTCCATAAAATTAATCGATTCTAGACTAATTCGACTCAGCATTTCCAAAATACATATAATTTTTTGGGAATAATCCATATAAACTATGCTATAAACAAAAAATTGTAGGATTACTTACCAAGCGTGCACCGTTCGACTATGCCATTGCTTAATTTAATTAATTAATTAAGCTTGTTTTCGTCATGGAGCTTGTCATCGAATGATGCTCGCATGCTTCCTGATAAATTATTTTTTTGCGAAAAATTTGCTGAACTTTGGAGACATCATTAATATAAATATAATTTTTATGGACGTTAAATAATAAATGGTTTTTAGTAGGTCCGCTGATCATTTAAACTCAACGGTTTCTGCAATATCCTGTATTGGTCTAGATTCGACCAATCCTGTCGCGACATGAGTTGGCGACGACGTTTTACCGAATTATAAGAGTTTTTTTAGCATGTTTGTATGAATACTGTCACAATTTTTTCGCCGTCATATAAGAATCTGAAAACTATATGAACCCGTGTTATGGGGGGGTCGACTGTACATTAAAATTTCAATGTATTTAAACATGATTGCTGTATTGTATTACAAAATGCACAGACAGTAACTGATTACAATGTATAAGATATGTGCAGCATTTAAAACTACCTAATTATATTTTTTGTTGGAACAAAATTCTGTTGTAAGTCAAAGTCAACAACTATTTGCAATTTTCTGTTAACTATAATACTGTCCATCTTGGAATTCTAATGCCATTTCAATGATGATAATAGTAGATGTCATTCTGGATATTCTATGTTTTTGGAATTTACATGTTGAGTTTGTTTCTTTTTTTCAAAGTTTCCACTTATGAATTTTTCCATAATAAAAGCTAGGCCTTTTTATGATGATTCTGCCTAGAAAAGAAAATTTTTTTATATTCTAAGTATTTTTCCCATAATCAAGAACTAGACTGTCCATATACAAATCACCAATTGTTCATATTAAATATATCATCATCAATATTTTGTATTTATTAAATTATGCTTTAAGTTAAACCAGAAAATGACATTTAGTTATTCAAAGACAGACAATATTAATAAACATGGTAGTGAAGACATTAAATGAACATCAGAATAGTTAGTTACTGACAGATTTTGCAGAAACATTGTAAAGACTGGTCCATGTGGTGAACTGCACAATCTTTTTCAAATGCACTGTACATCAATATAAATATGTCTGTTTTATCTCTATGAATATGACAAAAACAAAATATATAATGACAAAATTATGTGTGAAAAATAAATTTTAAAACTAAGATTAATTGCAACAAAGATCTGAAAGCAGTTTTTATTCTTGTATAGATTGGAACTATAATAGTTCAAAAGAAAAAAGTGTAAAATGCAGAGATAACTAAAATGTTAGAAAATGTCTCTTAAAATTTTTTAGCATATTTTAAAAAAATAAAGTCTCCATTGTTTTTGTAGAAATGCATAATAATTATAATACTTATTTAAATTTTAATTATTTTTTTATATTCTAATTTTACGTAATAAGGAAATATATATAATTTACCGATGCAGCTAGTTTCCAATTAAATCCATAAACTGGATGAATAGGANATAAAGTCTCCATTGTTTTTGTAGAAATGCATAATAATTATAATACTTATTTAAATTTTAATTATTTTTTTATATTCTAATTTTACGTAATAAGGAAATATATATAATTTACCGATGCAGCTAGTTTCCAATTAAATCCATAAACTGGATGAATAGGAGGATCATGTATACCAATAGAAAACAGCATACAGCTGGATGTTATTATGCATATCAAGAACATTACACTATGAGAAAAAGTAATCTGAAATAATTTTGAAAAATTATAATTAGTCAATATAGTGTTTAATAATTCTAATTTAATTTACTTTAATTTATTAATATTACCAGAAATGTTCTAGATACTAGAATATAAGATGGTTCTGATACAACACTTGTAATATAATGCAAGAGTGTTACTGTGAAACAAATAAAATTCGCAATCATAAAATATGTTTCAGATGCAGTTCCTGCAAATCCTAAAATAATGTCAGAATAAGCTGGACGACAGTGAACCATGATAAGATATGTGCAGATGAAGCTTGATATCTAAAAATAAAAATTAATAAAAAATTAGATATTGTAAAAAATTAATAATTCTATCCACCATAAAAAAAGTCATTTTTATACTTAGTAGAATAAATAAATAAATATTTAATGTTAACTTACATTAACAAATGTATTGTGTGTAAGTGAGAAAATTAAATGCAATCTCTCTATATATTTTATTTTATTATTCATTGAAAAATTGATAATTAATTAATAAACAATTGAAATAAATATGTAAAACATTTACTGAGTGACTAATTATATCAAAAGTACTCTGTTCAACACTATAAAGAAATACCTAACAGTGAAAATGCAACCAAATACCAAAATTATGCACTTTTGATACTGCAAGCAACAAAAGAAAATTTTCTTTGAATAGGTACAAAAGTTACAGTTGCAGCTCTGCATATAAAAGTGGGCACAACTGTTTAATGTCATTCTTATCAGCTACAATGACCATCAATCACCCTGCCAGAACACACATTTCTTGTTAAACTGTTTTTTGAAAACAATGACAATGCTGAAGCTGCACTTAGGAAATTCACCATCTTAAGAATTTATGCTAAAAACCACTGACCCACAAATTCTCAAGAGAATGATCACTCAGAGCAAACTTGACATCTGGAAGTTCAACAGAGTCAAGAGTAACATTAAAAAACACAGAAACTGGAGGGAATGTTAGAAAATAAATTCACACCTTAGAAATCAACTCCAGCAAAAAGTTTAATGAAACAAAAACAAAAAGATTAGGATGCAAACCTATCACTTCACAAGTCATTGAAAATGTTATCACCACTGTTGTTGAACAGTCAATGTTGCAGACTCCTGCAGTGTACAGTACATACAGTGTCATGGCAGTTGGGTGTAGCACAGTTAATTGTTTTCCATACAAGATTAGCTATACTTATCAGCAGTTGCTTGCTGCCAACAGGGAAACCTGACTGACCTTCCTTGCCAGAATGGAAGAGGATTTATCACAGCACATTTTCATTCCAGGAAAACAATGAACACCCATAAATCATTACATTTGGGCTATAGAAAACCCTCATGTTTTCCAGCAAATTCCATTATAATTGCCTAAAAGTTAGTTTGATGTGAATTCACTGCCATGATATGGATTCACAACCACATTTTTTCTTGGAGTATTCATCAAGGAAGCCAGTTCCAATGGACCTGTAACATGCTGTGTGATGGCTGGTCCAGACATATCAAAAGATTCTCAAAACTTTTGTCATATCCCAACTGCAACAATAACAATTCTCTACAAGATGAAGCAAATCCACATATTGGACAATATGTCTGTGTGTGTAGTAGTTTCTGCAACAAAATTTCATGACAGTTTTTAGTCATGCAATGATAAATGTGCCATCACTTATCCATCTTTCTCCAGATGTTCAGACACTTTAAAAAGTATGGTTTATCTAAGACATGTTTCCAATTTGGCAGCCTTGAAAAACAGCATCATACTGTTTATTGCCTTCAGGTTTTACACCTTCAGAATGGGACAACATTGAACAGTATTTTCCTGTATCACTAAAGTTTCTTTATAGCATGAGTGTCTTGCATGGATAAAATGTTTGCTACTTGCAGTATCAAAAGCAGTGCATTTTGGTATATTTTTTATTACAGAAATGTCTGACATATTCTGAAATGTTACCATACTAAATTTGGTTGCATTGGATTGCTAAATATCATTCTAGACAGCATTGAATAGGTGTACTGATACTTTAATTATGATAATCCAGTATTTTAATTGAAGATTTAATTAGATAAAAAATAAAAATTAGCTCTCTTATTATCAATTGTTTTATTAGAATATTACATAAATGCAGTTTTTTTTTTTTTCATTGGATGGTCATCATTTCCCTATACAGGGATCAGAGTCACCCTTGTCCCGCAAATAGCACCACAAGGGGGAACGCTTTCTTTATTCATAAATCATAATTTACATTAAGTCAATTTAAACAATAAAAAGAAATAGGTAAAGCATGTATAATCGCAATGCAGCTTGCCATTACAATTATTGCGGCCACTTGCCGCTTGATAGAGTGGGAGCAACTCGCTCCTCAACTCTTTGACAGTATACTTCGCGTAAAGTTCTTTAGATCTTGGATAATATCCTTATTCCGGATCAGCATGTATAGATCTGTACAGTCTGTATTAAATGTCTGTGCAGCAACTAGGTGTAATTGCATCCTTTCATTTTCATACTTAATGCATGTTGTCAGTAGATGCTCAAGGCTCTCTATGTCATCTTCACAATCACAAATACTTTCCTGATCTTTCCCTATTCTATTCAAGTACTCTTTAGTGTTGCAGTGATTGGAGTAGAGTTGAGTCCTCAGAAAATCCACTGGCAGCCATTTAAGATCTTTTATTCTCTCCTCAATACTGGGTAGCAGCCAGTATGTGTAACGACCTTTCTCACTATACGTCCATCTCTCCTGCCATTCTTCTATGGTCTGCTGCCTTAGTTGCTTTTTGATGAAAGACAATGGGATTTTCCCATACGCAATCTCTGTGAATTCAATGGCACCCTTCGCCAGGG